AAACAACCGGCTCCATCGAGCCGCCAGCCTCCGCAGGGCTGCCTCCCGTGCGCGGCACAAAGGCGTGGGACGGGGAACCCGCTGCTGGTGTGGGCCCCGTGGCCACGCGTGGTGCCCCGCCACGAGCCCTGGGGTGCCGCTGGTGAGCCCTCGCCGGCCAGGGGCATCCGCTGCACACCCTGCGAAAGCACAGCCGTGCATTCCCTGGCTTTTTTTACGAGGGTTTGCTTTTGATTGAACCCTTCTGCAGAAGCAAGATCAGTGTGGAATAAGCCTGCATCTGTTGGATGTAGTTACTGGATGGGGTAACAGACCGCGGTGCGCTGGCTGTTTCTCCGCTGCAGCATCCCTACTTTTGTCTCCCACACTCCGCTCGGTGCTTTTTGGAAGGAGCCCGATCTCCGTGTCTCTGTAGCACATCACCTTTTTACAGCAGAGAGGAGGACGTTGCAGGCCACCTCTTTTTCCACCCCTTTTGTTTTTTTTTTTTTCTTTTTTTTCCCCCGAGGCTTTAGGAGGCTTGTCCGTTTGAATTAACCTCCAGCACAGCTGGGCACACAAACGGTTTTGTTCCATTTGCAGAGGGTTGGTGCCGGTCAGGCTCGCGGCGCAGGCCGGAGGGGCAGCAGCTCCCCTGGCTTTGTGCGCCCTGCGGTGGCCGGGGGCCAGCCCGAGGACGTGGTCCCTGCCTGCTGCCCTTCCCTGCTGGTCGCTTCAGCCCCCGGCAGAGGCACTGGGTGCTGGTGGGGCGCTCGAGGCAGCAGTGTGCAAGGAACGGGGCAGTTCCCCCTCAGTACTGAATTGAACCGGACGTTTTTCTCAAAACAAAAAGCCGACCCTGAAAGAAGCCATGGGGAAGGATAAGGGGCAAAGGAGTCTCAACACAACACGTCTCTTGGTGTCTGAGGCATCGTCAGGGGTGAGAGGCGAGCGGGGTTGTGTTGGGCTTCCAGTAACACACGTGGGGGAGCTCCCCCCGCGCCCCTCCCCACGCAGCTGCTGCGGAGCAGCTGGAGGTGGAAGCGCCTGAGCAGGGCTGCGGGTGTCGTGTCCGCGGACGAGTTAATCAAGAAGCAAAGAAACGATACGTAGTTGAAGAGCTGTTAAACCTATTAATAAACTGCGGTGTTGGGTGCCGCCTGTAATCTTCGCTGTGGAAGGTTTCCTGAGTGGAAAGCGAGTTCAGTGGTGTGCACTGGCACTGCTGAAAGCTGCGGCTTTCTTTGTCCTCCTGCTCCCTTCCAGCCAAACTAAATCCCCGCACGGTCTCTTCGGATCTTTGGTGTTGGTTTTGTCTTAACTTCTTGCCTCAGTCTAAAAAATGTAGGTTTTGTTTCTGCTCCACGGTGCAGCACCGGTGTCCCAAACAGCACGCTGCGGACACAGCTCTGCCTCCCAGGGCAGACCTCACGCAGGCGGCTGCGTGCTGCAGGTTTGAGCTGCACACACAGCCGCGGGTGCGGCGCTTTTCACAGCTCTGGGAGGTGGCTGCGATTCCACCAGCGTCTGCTCCTGTCCCCACCGCGAGCTGCTGGCCCGCTTGGAAGGCAGCAGCAGGGGCAGTGCCCCGGTGGCAGCGCTTGTTTGCATGAGTGGCAGCGCTGGGAGCGATGATGGGGGCTTGCCGAGGACCCAACAAGTGTCCTGATACTTTATTTTATTTGCTCGGTATTTTATATGCTTGTTCATGGGTTTTAATGTTTTCTGTGCTTGTGTTTTCTGTGCCTGTGTACAAATGTGCCCAGGCAGTTGAATGCCGGGTGCTTCAACAGGAATCTAAGGTATTTCTTCTCAGAAATTCATGGGAATTTTGTTTTAAAAATGATTCCGAGTACTCATCTCGATGATAGGAAAAGTCTTTTATGAAATAAGTGCACGGCTTTTACCGCCTGCCTTACGGCACGCAGACAAGTGGAGGTCCCCCTGCTTTCTCACACTGCCGCTGTGACTCTTGTGTAACATCATAATATTCCTGCAGAATTTACATTGTATTAAAATGTGGTATGAAACCTACCATGACCTTTGAAAACAATGCGTCCTTTAATGTGGCTTTGGGGAGGGGTTTGTGAGGGAGTAGCCATAAAAATCTTCAGGGTTCAAGATGAGGTTGAGATTTTTCTGAGTGCTTTTGTCGTAGCAGCAACTGTTTGATTTAGTGGCCCCCGTTACAATAGGTTGTGAGAACAAAGCCCGAATATCCCGCGTACGAGTCCGTTACGTGTAAGACCTACCAAGAAAACTGAAACGAGAGGTGTTTGCTCAGCCCTTCCTCCCAGACGAGCCACAAACAAGCTCTTTGGAGCAGCTCGGTGCCGGTGGCTTTATTTCTTATCACCATTGTCAGGAGCTGGGAGATGAGCACCAACAGACGGGGCGGGGGAAGGCTGCTGTGCTCTGCGATGGCCGTACCGACACTGAGCCTTGGTGCTCGGCGAAATTTCAAGGTTAAGGGAGCTCGGAGCGGCTCCCAGGGCAGGGCTTCTTTAATTCCCCCGTGCTTTGCGATTCCCGTGGAGCCCAGTGGCGATTCGGCTCAGCAATCCCAATGTGTGCTTGCACAAGGAGCTTGCGTTAAGCAGGGTGAAAAATAGCAAAGGTCAGGAGCTGGCAAACCCGCGGGCTGTAGGAGGATCACAATTTTACAGGATTTTTTAAAGCACCGAAACTCCAAGGCTTCCTGTAGGCAATTATTTTTTGTCTGCCAGTTTTGCTTGAGGAGCAGTTTACGGGGTACGCGGGCATCTCCTTCTCTGTTCCCCGGGGGTTTGTTTCTTTGTTCGTGGCGTGAAGCACTGCTCTGTGTGCTCTGTGTGTGTTTTGATCTGGAAACACACCCAACGAGCAGCTTGTGCGGCGAGGCGTGTGCAGCCCCAGGTTCCTGCGGCAGCGGGGTCGCTCACACCACCTCGCCGCTGCCCTGCTCGGGGGGAACGGGCACGGCAGGGGAAGGGTCCCGTGCTCGGCCGCTTTAATCCTCCGTGCTTCCTACGTTCTCTAGGCGATGGCCCCATTCTTCCCACAACAAAAAGCTGCGCCTGGAGATGAGCCCTGGCTTCAATGCCCCTCACCAGCTGTGCAGGGGGACGCTGCCCCACGCTCATCCCCGACACCTCCCCACGATTGCAGGGAGCACGAAAGGCGGAGGTGGTGCAGCTCCCAGGAGCCTGGGCGAGGTGCTCGGCCAGCAGAGCCCTGCCTGGGAAGCCTTCAGCAGCATTCATTCCTCTGCTGCTCCTGGGCACAGCCCTGAGGTGAGCCAGCCTGCGCAGCCAGGAGTGTGTCCCCATGGAGGTGACACCGGGAGGGCTGCGTTACTTAAAGTTTGTGTTGCCTTTCTTCAGGCCTTTGTTTTAGGATTCCGTCGCAATTGTGGTGAAATTTGCAGAGAAATGCAAATTTGTATGTTGCACGTCAGTAAATCTTTTAGAAAATTAATACCAATCGGTTGTGGTCACTGCTGGGTTTAACTGTGGGGAAAACTGCTGGGGAGTCAGAGCAGCTGGTGTACATTTGGGGCTGGCTTGTGCAACCCGGGGCTGCTTTCCTCTCTGCCCTGCTGTGCCTGGCTCGCTTCTTGCTACCGAGCTCAGACGCTCTGCAGTAGGAAGGAGCCAGGCTGCTCTGTCACACTGCTGGGGCTATATTGGCGAGGACCTCGGTGTCACTTCTGTGTCCTGTCCTGCCACTCCAAAACCCAGCAGACAAAACTATCCTCGGCTGACAACCTCCTGATCAGGCATGGTTGGGGAAGGCCCGGCGGCGTGCTGCGGGAAGCTCGAAGGGGAGCTCGTGCTCTCTCTTCCTTCTCTCCGCTCAGGTTTTTTGCCACCCAGCGCCTTCCCCGCGCACTGCCACGCGCTGCCCTGCCCTGTTCGCTTCAGCCGTGGCCGTGCTGGGAGCTCCTGGGGCAGGGAGGTTTCTGCTCCATGCTTCGAGCTGTTGGCAGCAGCAGAGAAACTTGTGTGGGCAAGGCCTGAGGCTGGGTGCTGAAGCTGGACTCCGGGTGCCTCCTGCTTGCAGCCCCAGGGAGCTCCAGAGAGCCATTGCCACCTCCTGGGGCCTGGGGGAGCTGCACTTTCCTGCCCAGCAGATCGTGCTCAGGCCAAGAAATGCCAGCAATGATCCATCTGAGCCGGCACCCGCAGCTCACACACTGCGGCAAGAGGCAGCAGCGTGGTTCTAGAGCCCTGCTGTCAGAAGCGCAGCGATGCCCTTCCTGCCCCTCGCAGGCCTCTGCCTCAGGCCAGTGTGCCCGAGGCTTCCTGCAGTGCCCACTGACACTGGGGAGATGCCAGGTGCCACAGCACAGCTCTGTGCGGACCCCTCGAGCTGTGCCCATGTCCTCAACACAGCTCTGTTCACCCCGAGCAGGATTTCGTTGGGTTACAGCACGGGGGCGGGGGCCGGCAGAGCATCGGGTGCGAGGGGTGAACACGCCTGGTGGCTCAACATTTGCTGGAGGAGGCTGCCGTGCGGTGGCAGCGTTATTTTAGCGGGGCTGACTTTTAATGTGAAGCAGGATTTAGGTCTCCCCGTGCAGATGCAAGATAATGAGCCTACATCTAGGTTAACGAAGTCAGTTGCTTTAGCCATCATTTACTTTTTCCTTTCCGTCTGACATCCACGTCTATGAAGATTACTGCGTGCTCACGGAGGTTCTGGCTGAGCCGTGCATCATCCCTCTGCTGTCTCACAGGGGCTGTTACAGCCACAAGAGGCTGAATTTAATATGACAGCTCCTATTGCTGGGGGTCGTACAATTTACATTTTTGTCATCCAAAGGCCTTCCAAAGGTTTGGAGCAGGAAAAGTAAAATCGAGTCACAGCAGCTTAACCTTGGTGTTGTTTCTGTAGCGGTTTGCTCAGGTTGTGGGCACATGAACTGTGCAGAGAGGCTCTCCACGAGGTGGCCGTGTCCCCACATCCCCCTGCCTGTCCTGTGTCGGGTCGCTCGGGGAAGCCGGGTTGTTGATCGCAGCGCCCTCTCCCTTCTCTTGCAGATGACCGGGTTGAGCAGCGAACCTGCCTGATCTGCGGGGACAGAGCCACGGGGCTGCACTATGGGATCATCTCCTGCGAGGGCTGCAAGGGGTTTTTCAAAAGGAGCATTTGCAACAAGCGGGTTTACAGATGCAGCCGGGACAAGAACTGCGTCATGTCACGCAAGCAGCGCAACAGGTGCCAGTACTGCCGGCTGCTCAAATGCCTCCAGATGGGGATGAACCGGAAAGGTAAAGAAACCCAAGCTTTGGGTGCTGCGTGTGCAGGCGCGAGCCACACGGCCCAGCTGGCCTTTCTGGGACACAATCTGCTTTTTCACAGACCCCTAAATAACCAAAACTAAAATGAATCTTGTCCTGTCTTAAGTCCGTTGGCTTACCTCTGCCACCCCTGCTCCTGAGGGCTCTGGGCTGCCCGGCTTGGGTTGCTCTGTCTGTCTGAGGAGCTGAGGCTTGCAGTTGCTGGCCTGCGACAAGTGCCAGTGTCTCTGGCTGCTGCCTGTCCCCAGGCGGTGGCACGCAGCCCCCAGTGGAGCAGCTCGTGGGTCTGGGAGCACAGGAGCCGCTCGCCCCAGTCTCTGGGGAGGCCAGGGCCAGAGCTGTCCTGGGTTAGGGACAGCTGTGGTGTGATTCCCATGCGTGGCCGACGTACAGAGCTGGTGAAGTGTTGTGGCATCATCTTCAGGATGAGAACCCTAAGTAGCTCAGAAATTAAGAGTAAAAAATAGACCGGGATTTATTTCAGTCATGTCTCTAGTCTTCACTCCAATCTTTTGACTTTTTAATCTGCAGAAATAAGGTTGTTACCCTTTAAAAGCAGACATTTCCTAGTTTAATGACAATCAGCTGAGTAGAAGCAGGGGCTGCTGTAGCACAGGGGCTGCCTGGGCTCAGGCTTTGCTACAGGACTGCTGCCCAGCCTCACAGACACAGGCATCGGGTCATGTTTGTTAAACGTAGCTATCGATGCCTTGAATGTCATAACTCATCTGAAAGCCACCTGTCAAAAGCACTGAAACCTCCATAAATTCACTGCAGATCCACCAGGGTCTTTGTTACAAAACGCATCTTGGGGGTGAGATGGAAAGCTTATCTCCCGACCGCCTTGATTACCAATTTTCCTGGGCAGTGTCTCTGGACGGACGCTGCCGGCGCTCAGCAGTGCTCAGAGCTGCACGGGGCAGCGCCGCCATCTCCCGGCAGCTGTGCTGGTGCTCAGTCCTGCTCCCGGTGCTCGCTGCAGCCCGAGCCTCCCGGGGACAGGACGCAGCTCCTGAGGCCTCGTGGCTCTCGTGGCTCTTTGCAAGCACTTCAGGCTGGGCTTTCCGAGCAGTCGGTGTGTGTGGCAGGGATTTGCAGCCACGGGTAAGCACCTGCAGTGTTCAGTTCACATCATGCAGACTTCTGGACATGGAGCACAGTCAGTGCAGGAGGGCCGGGGCAGGATGAGCTCTGCCCAGGAGGGCTGGGTGGCGAGCCCCGGGCAGGCTGGTGCGCCAGCCCAGGTTTGTACCTGCTGTAAAAGGTGCAGAAATACCCCAGAGGGAGATGCTCCACATCAGAAGGGTGCTGCTGGACACCACGAGACTTGCGCAGTACAGGAATTTTTCCTTAAATACTGTCCCAGTTTCTGGTCCTGGAGAGCCCCCCCCAGCCCTGAGCGCAGCACGGGGGGGCAGCTGGCGGCTGCAAGGTCATGGTGCAGCTGGGGAGAGCCTGCTGCCAAGTCTGCCTGGCCCGCTGGGAACGAGATTGTGCCCTGATAAACACAGGGACCCGGGCCAGAGAGCAGGTCCCCTTCTGCAGGGCTGCTCCGAGGTTGGGCTGCTGGGGAAGGGGCAGCTCAGGAGCAGCTCCAGCATCGTCTCCTTAATTGGGCTTCGCTCTGACACAGCCGCAGGGGCGAGCTGCTTTATCTCTGTGTTGTCTCCAGCATCAGCGGTGTCTGTGCTGGTGCAGCCTGCCTTGTGGTGGCCTCACCGGGCTGTGTGCTGTGGCAGTCAGAAATGCTGCTGTTGGCTTTTCAGTTTCTAGCAGACCTGCACATTTGTTGAATTATTTGGGGGAGCAGTAGGGTTGCTCTCCACATGCCATCTCTCAAATTAATACAACGTTGTGATAAAGCACTGAGTGTTTCTTCATAGGAATCTGTTAGTAGGAATCTATTTTTTGATACCAAACAGTAGTGTTCCTTACCAAGATTTGTTTGTTTTCTTTCAGCAATCAGAGAGGATGGCATGCCAGGAGGCAGAAACAAAAGTATCGGGCCTGTCCAGGTGAGCACATGCAGAAATGTCTCCAGGGTTCACTTGCTCCTGTTCAGCTGACCTTGGCACACGTCTCTGCATCAGTTGGGCTTCCCTCTGCTGTGGCAGGGGAAAGGCTGGCCATTTTCTGGTGGGAATGCACGTCCTGTGCACGGGAGCTGTGTTTTCCAAGCGCTTTCCTTGCCATTACTCCTGGCTCTGGCTGCTGGGAGCTGGAGTCACGAGCAGCGTGCCCTGGGACGGGGAGGAGGCAGCGAGCTGAGCGCCTCTGGGAGGGGTCTGGGGCCGGCACTGCTGTGGCACAGCCTGCCAGCCCTGCCCCTGCCTCCTGCCAGCCCGGTGGGGATTGGGCTCCCCATCAGGTAGATGCATGTCATGAACGGTAGGTTTGTAAATAAAGTGTGGCCCCGCTTGTCTGCGGGGAGAGGACACGTCACAGCCCCAGGGGATTGCTGCAGGTGCTGGCACGGACACCCTGGGATCCCTGGGCTGTGGCTTGAGCCAGCGCAGCCGCCTGCCCTCTGTGAGCAGCACGAGGACCTCAATCCCTCCAAAGCTCCCAGTAAATCTTGCAGGCTGTGTGCTGCAATTTCTTAAGTTGTTGCAAGTGGGGCTCCCAGTAAATGTCTCGGTGATTGATGGCGCAGCTTGTCTGGAGATGCCTTGTAAAACGCGAGGTAATTCAGCACAGCAGCTTGTCCCGCACGCCTGAGAAATGATGGCTGTTTCCAGCTTGCTTCTAGAAAAGCAGCCTTTAAAAAGTTTACTGGTTATTTTAATAAAACAGAAAGAATACTGGAAGCATTTCTGTGACAGCGCACCTATGAAAGTGCTGTGCACCCCAGCGCAGAATGGCAGACGTGAAGAGCCAGGGGCCAGGCAGCTCAGGTCCCTCGTGACTGCCCAAGGAGAAAACAAGAATTAGGCAGTGTGGCCCTGCTGGCAGTCAGCATCAGGAGGGAGACAGCTCAAATAAATAAATAAAAATCCCTTAGAAATGGTACAGCATTTCCTGCTGTTTGCAAACACTGTGTTTGCAACCACATCGGTTACTAATTCCTAATCCCATGTGGGTCTATCAAGACTGGAATAAACTCTTTAAGCAATGTTAGGCTCTTGAAAATGACACTTGGAGTTCACTGCGCTGCCTTGCAGATCGCTGACTCGAGGTCTTTCCATGTTCTGTGACAGCCATGCTAAGGTACTCGCACATAATATATGAAAAAAGCCCAAAATGTTGTTGCATATTCATCACTACAGAAGCAAGCCTTCTCCTGGAGCCTACCCAGCTCCTTGAACCTTCCTACTTCTGGTCTCTCCAGTATCCTGTAGCAGTGAATTCCCTTATTTTTGTTCAGTCCATTTTAGCTTCATAAATTTTACTCTCTAATACTTGTTTTAAGCATGAGGTGCTTGATGACTTCTTCAGGTGCAGCCTGGTTCTTATCTGGGGACAAAGCAGTGAACAGCGATTCCCTATGAGCAGTTCCCCAACTAACTCAGGTTCAGCACAGCGCCTCTCCCAGTGGCTCAGCAGCTGTACCTGGAATTTTTCATGTATGTTGTTAAATGTAAAGGGGGAGTGTGGTATTTCTCAGGACACTGACGCGTTTCTGCTGGCGCAGATCAGTTCCAGCCCTGTTTGATGTGGCAGGACAGTCAGGGTGTTTGTGTATGGAAACTCTGCCGTGTTTCTCTTCTCAGTGAAAGTAGCAGCTTGGCACTAACTGTGATGATCTTATGTCTGAAAGATATCGGAGGAAGAGATTGAAAGAATTATGTCTGGACAAGAATTTGAGGGAGAGGCAAACATGTCATGGAGCAACAACGGAGACAGCGACCACAGCTCCCCTGGAAATGGAGTTTCTGAGAGCAACCAGCCTTCACCTGTTTCTACTCCATCTTCAAGGTGGGAATTACCTCTGGAAGAGTTTCGTGTTACAATAATTTTGACCCTGTTTCCCTGAGTGATACTCGGGATCAATGTAGGAAAAATTACCCTGGAATTACCTCCTCGTGTGACCTGAACGTACTGCACATTTCCTGCACGTTCTTACATCTCTAAATGCGCTTTTAGAAAGACAGCCACTGGATTGGAAATAATTGATTGAGAGGGGAAATGCTAATGAGTAAATGAAAAAAGAAGGCAATGTTGAGTTAACATTCTGATATTTGAAATAGAGTTCTTAATTTGCATTGATTTTTTTCCCCTGCAGATCATGGAAACCTGATTAGCTCTCACTGTTCCTTCTATATAAGCTCTTTTTCTCCGCTGTGCTCAGATTTTGAAAATAAATGAACTCCACTTAGGTTGCTAATTGGTGGTGTGACTTTGTCAGTTGCAGTTAGTGCTGGCCACCTGAGTCAGGATTTGACTGCAAACACGGCAAGAATCTCGGGCTTGCAGCCCAGCAGCTCTCGGTTGCATTGTAAGCTAGGAGGTATTTGTGTTCGCTGGCTGTATGAACTGCTTAATTTACAGTCCTAAATTCTGGCCCTTTAAGAAAGCAGGAGTGGAAATGCTTGCTGCAGTCAGCTCTCTCCTGTGCTCAGAATGGCTGCTCGGCAGCAGAGCCCAGTGCTTCGCTAAATGGATCTAGCTGGAGTCAGGCGCAACGCGAGGCACCTCTGCACGCTGGTATTTCCAGTGTAGCGTTTATATACAAAGGGATCTCTTCTCTTCTCTTCTCTTCTCTTCTCTTCTCTTCTCTTCTCTTCTCTTCTCTTCTCTTCTCTTCTCTTCTCTTCTCTCTTCTCTTCTCTTCTCTTCTCTTCTCTTCTCTTCTTCTCTTCTCTTCTCTTCTCTTCTCTTCTCTTCTCTTCTCTTCTCTTCTCTTCTCTTCTCTTCTCTTCTCTTCTCTTCTCTTCTCTTCTCTTCTCTTCTCTTCTCTTCTCTTCTCTTCTCTTCTCTTCTCTTCTCTTCTCTTCTCTTTTTCCTTTTCTGTTTTTATCAACATTTCTGATGGAGCTGGATTTTTAACATTTTAATGAATTGTGTGGAATTCTTGTAGTATATTAAAATGCTTTTCCCTGTCTAGTAGGTCTGTGGAGCTGAATGGATTCGCTGCACTCAGGGATCAGTATATTGGGACGCCGGTGTCCATGCACTATCAGTACCTCCCGCACCTTTTTAGCTATTCTGCTCACTCGGCTCTGATGCCCCCGCAAGCGCGCAGCCTGGACCCCCAGTCGCACAGCCTGATCAATCAGCTGGTGTCAGCGGAGGACTTGCAGCCACTCGGCACTCCGATGCTCATTGAAGACGGGTGAGTGTGCGCAGCGTGGTGGGGAGGCAGCCCCGAGCTCCACCTGCAGCTTGTCCTTCAGTGAGCTGCCCGTGTGTGCGCACGCCTGCAGCTCGTGCTGCGCAGGGTGCTGGGGGCACGGGGAGCCGGGCGTGTGCTCACAGCCCTGGGGGCATGGGGAGCAGCGTCTGGGGAGCAGCTGCAGCCACAGTGCAGGCAGCAAAACGGAGCGTGTCCCATGGCTGGGCTGTGCCCTGCCCTGGCGCTGGGGTGCACAGACCTTGGCGGGGTGCCTCGGGCTGCGCGTGCCAGGCTGAGCCTGCACGGGAGCGGGGTTTGGTGGTTTCAGCCCCGAGCCATGGTGAAGGGCTGGGGATAAGCCCCGTAGCTGGAAAAGCACACACGGCTGGAATAAAGCCGGGTGGTCAGCCTGCTGGGGCCCAGCTGCCCCCTGCCTGGGGAGAGCCCCCGCTGCCGGGGGGGCCTCCAGCCCCCGGCAGGCTCTGGCAATCGCTGCTCCCACCGCCAGGTGACACTCTGGGCACCGGCATGCCGGGCGCTCGCACACCAATTCCGGTGACATTTTCCTTGCTTTTCAAGTGCCTTGTCAGATTATGTCATTCGATGTTTTTAATTATTTCTATGCCTTCATATTAACTGTGCCTGCAGGTATAAAGTGACTCAGGCAGAGCTGTTTGCATTGTTGTGTCGTCTGGCGGATGAATTGCTTTTCAGGCAGATTGCTTGGATCAAGAAGCTGCCGTTCTTCTGTGAACTCTCGATCAAGGACTATACCTGCCTGCTCAGCTCCACCTGGCAGGAGCTGATCCTGCTTTCCTCGCTGACTGTTTACAGCAAGCAGATCTTTGGTGACCTCGCGGATGTCACCTCCAAGTACTCTCCCTCTGATGACGAGCTGCACAGGTGAGGCGCGGGGCTGAGCCCCAGGTGAGGGAGCGTGGTGTGGTGATGGGGGGCAGGCAGCGAGCAGGGTGGCCAGGAGCCTCTTCCCAGCCCCACCACCCCTGTGGGTGCTTCGCCTGCTGCTGCCTTTCTGTTTTCAAGGAAAGGTTATTCCATGCTGAGAACAAATGCTTGAGACTTCGTATGTGACAGGGGCCGTGGCTAGTCAGTGCTGAATAAAGCCTGCATTTTCAGGGCGGTGTTTGATGCTGTCTGAAGCTTCCTTTTGGTCGTGCTTTTGGAGTGGATGTCCCTGGAGCAGGGAGGGCACATGCTGTTCTGGCTCATGCTTGCAATCCTTAGGTCCAAATGCCTTCGGAAGAGCCACTTAAGTGCCCCAGGAAACCTTTTAAAAATCTGCATTTAGGGAGGTAGGACATTCACTAAATGTGACAATCTATTACATGGAAAAAGTGGGTGCACATGTATGTGTCTTCTCTGCAGGCTTCATTCAAACAATACTGTGAGATTGTATTTATAAAACCAGCAGGTTTTAACTGGTAAGAATCACAGGCTTGTTTTCTGGGGCTGGTGAGGACCAACACCTTGCATAGACTCAGTGTTTCTGAAAATTATTCCTCAGACTTAAAACGTATATGCTAGCAATTCTAGCAGGTAGAAGATAAGTGGTGTTCAGCTGCGCAAACATTTTTAGGAAGCCTGATGCACCTTTGCTTTGAGTCTCTTGTATCTGAAGGTTAATTTCCATTTAAGTACTGTCTTCTTAAAATATCATTTTATTTAACATGAAATGTTTGTCCTTCTCGCTCGCATCCCCATTAATTTTATACAGACTTAGGATTTCAATTTCAGCCTCTCTTAATGGTGACTTGTCTTAGAATTCCTCTAAATTTTCAAACTGACTGACTTACCTGGGTCCTCAGACTGTGGAGAGACAGCTGAAGGTAAATCATGTTTGGAAGCATTCTTTTGGAATTGTGCACAGAAAAAGGGCGAGACTTGTAAAATATTTCAGACCAATCCCGTGATATCAGTTTGTGTTTTCTATTGAGACTGATAGTTTTGTTTCTGTCTAGTCTCTGGGGCTTCCTGCAGCTGAAAAACACTCACGTTCTGTGTTTCCCAGTGAGTGGCCCATTTCTTTCTATTTTTTCCTGAGCTTTCTCTATATCTCTAAGAATTTTCAGTACATTTTAAAAATACTTTTTTTTTTTTCTAATTTCTTTGATAAAAGCTGATGAAGTTGATAAAATCAAACTGCAAATAAGGAAAAAAAAATAAACAGCAGCGTGGATGTAGTCCATTTCTTGTTTTTGCTTTTTAAACTAACAGCAGCTCTAACAGAGGGTCTCCATCCTGTGCTGAGCAGAGAGCTCAGTCAGAGGCTTCCCAGCTGTTGGAGGAGAAAACAGGTGCTGGTTAGATCATCTCGAGGATGGTTCTCCTGCAGCAAGGCTGTCCTCCTGCAGCACAGCTCTGCAAGCTGCCTTTGCTGTGGAGAGAATGAAACTAACTGATCTGACACTTCGGGTAACCCTGAGATACAGAACAGAAGGTCTTTAAAAATCACTTGGGCCAGTGGAACGATTGTTCACAAAGCTGGTCATCCTTATTATCAAAGTCTGCATTATTAATTGCTATCTCAGTGTTTTGATTGCATAAATTTGAAGATGTTGCAACTTTGCTGTTGTTTTTTTTTCCATAGTCTGTACTATCTGATGTTCTGAGGAACCTGCCTTTCATTTATCATTTTGGCCAGGGTGATGGTTTTTTGCGTCTTTTTCTTTTTTTCCTCTATTTTCTCTTTCTCTCCTTTCTCTTTCTTCTGTAGTCTGGGTGCCAGACAGGTCCTTCTTTTGGCAGCAGACTGAACTGCTGCCCACCCTCTGACATTTGCCCTGTTTTGTGCTCTGATAGACCTGGCAGTTCTGCAGGAGTCCGCAGGGGATCTGGGTGCTTGGTGAGCAGAGATTTAAAACACTTCTGTGTGCTCGCTCATCCCAGCGCCCAGCAGCTTCACGGGGTTCCTTTGTGAACCCCTCTCACAGCCCGGGAGGCTGACTCGGGACGGCCACGAGGAGGGGAGGACTGGCCCCAGGTGCCTCATTTCCTGGGGCAGGTCCCTGCTCGGCCCAGCCATTCATCCCGCATCTGGTGCCGCTCCTGCGAGGAGCAGCGAGGGTCACAGCAAGACACAATGCCACTTGTTCCTCTATTCAGCCTGCCCTTTGTTCCTGCTGTCCTGGTCGGAGCCTCTAAAGAGGAGTGTGCGTTTCATTTTGGGGCTGGGATAAATATGAGCGAGAGGTAAGAAAATAAGACAAAGGAGGAATCCTCGCCCTTCAGAAAGGGGCAATTCAAAGCCCACAGCCTCAAAAGGCCTTCAGAGCAGAGCCGTGCACATGGGTGAAAATAGGTGTGCTCGGGAGGGCGACGTTTCTGTAGTCTCTTCTCCTGATTTAGCTTTTCAAGTATTAATTGTCATTAGGGAAAATGGGAAAATGGCACCAAAAAGCCATTTAGCGGGAAGCTGCACAGATGAGGGATCTGAGCTGTGCCCTTTCAGTCTCAGCTGTCGTGGTGGTGGCTGCCCCAGCGTAGCTGCGCGCGGTGGGTCCCGTGCTCGTGAAAGCTGTAAGGGGACTCATAAGGAGAGGCTTTCCTTGAAGAACCTCAGCTTCCTTGAATTCTGGTGTTCGCTGATTATTACAGACTGAAGGTTGGTCTTACAGCCAGTTGAAAAAATTAATTGAAGCAGTGCTCGTCTGGCATTTTGGGGTAAATCTCAGTCTCATTTACAAAATGCCGGGAGCAATGTTAATGTTTAGGTAGGTGACAAATGAACATATGGGATGAGCTCCCGTGTTTTAATCACTTCTAACAATGGGCTGAATGTTCTCGTGGCCTGCTGGATCAAATGTTTTCTTTTATTGTGCTGTTTTTCTGTAGATGACTATGAAATGAATAGATTCCTGACCTCCCCCAGCACGCTCCTGATACCGCTTCCCTTCCCCCTCTCCCCAGCTGATCCTGATAACCCATAGCCAGAACCTCGCCTGGTGTAAACTGCGAGGAAAAGTGTGTGGAGGAGTCAGTCCTCAGGAAGAAATAGGGCTGTGAAAAACAGAACAGCTTTGTTTGGAAGGGGGAGGAAAGTATGCACAGAAAAGTAAGACAGTTCAACTGCAGGAATGAGAGAAGAGCTCTCCTGGATTTATGAAGTGATGAGTGGCTGGTAAAAATGTGCACGCTCTAAAAACAATTAAACCCACCAGACGACTGAGTGGTCTTTGTGCTCATTAACTTCTTGAGCTTTGCAATCTTGCACCTGTGAGATTTTTAATGTTAACTTGAGAGCAAGGAAACTTGTACAACTTTAGATTAGCCGACAAAGCTTTCATCGCTTACAATATTACTTTCCTGAAGAATTGACCTGAAGTTCAGATAGCTTGTTTTCACTTCTCTGAGGCCAAACTGCACCATGCATTTTACAAATAACTTTGAAGTAAACAAACATACATGCCAAAATAAGGTGTTATTCAGTGAAAAGGGTTCTATTTTCGTTCTATTCAGAGATGGCTTTCTGGCTGTGCTCTTATTCTTTGTGCTGTACAATGCCAGAGCGCAGCTGAAGCTTGCCTAAACACTTCTGTCCCACTTCTCAGGATTTATGCAATCTATGGTTTCTTTGAAACCGGTGGTATCGCAGTGAGAGGCGCTCAGGAGAGGCTGGTACTGGCCATTTGCACACGTGGGACATCGCCTGCAGGCACCGGGAGCTGCTCTGCACCCTTCAGGTTCTGCCTCTGCCTTAAATCACCTCTGGCGTGCAGGCAGGCATCTGTAACCTGGAGCCTCACTCATTTTAACAAGGATTATTTGTGCTTCTGTGCATGTCTGTGTTTGGGGAAAAGCTCCCAGCCTTACTGTGGTGTCTCACTTCAGGAAGCTCTCAGCTGACAAAGATTAGCAAAGCATAACACACGGGCAATCAGTGGGGTTGTGTGGAAGTATGGGATCTTTGTCGGTCACCAGGGGAATTTTAGGGAGGTGATGGAGGTGATCTTCCTCACCTGTCCGTTAGGTAACTGAGGGGTGCCACTGTTGTGCACGGGGCAGTGTCATTCTTCGGTATATAAACAAAGCCAATTCCAATAGCAGTGTGTGGGTAAAAGAAACTCTGGGCACGTCTGCTGCTGGCAACAGGAGGTGGTTCCTGTGCAGCGGGGTCTGGTGTCCCTGTTCCTGCAGCCCTCCCCACTGATGCAGCTGTGTTTTGGTGCTGCTCTGTTCATGTTGAAAAGCCCTGGGCAGAGCCAAAGCTTGCTGATTGCCCTGATTTTGTAAGAAAAGGATAAAATGAATGTAGCAGCTCTGTGAAATGGAGGGGTTTGTTTAATAAAGGAAGAAAAAGAAAAAAGTCAACGAGTTGGGTGTCAGGTTAGATGTCTGTTGCAGAGGACTTGTGTTCCCCTGTAACGTGCTGTAAAACAGCACCCAGCCTAACCCCCCGGGCTGGCTGAGCGGTATTGTCCAGCTGTATGGGACACAGCACACCTTGAAGGATGCCTCAGTATTTCTGCTGGCCACTTGCAGGGATAAATTCAGTTGCTGCAGGTGGCAGGAAATACAAATTGAAGAAAGGTGCCTGCCCAGTGGGGTGAGAAGGCACTATCCTGGTGGAAAGCTGGGGAAATAGAAGTGTAGAGAGGCAAAGCAGTGTGCCTACAAGCACACAAGAAGGTGCTGCACATTGCTGGCTCCATCAAACCTTAATCCCCATCAGAACAGGCTGATGATGAACTGAAACACTTGCTTCTGCTTCAACTTAATAGTCCGAGCAAACTTGAAGCAGTTTTGACAAAGATTTTTTGAATTCCATTGCAAAATTTTAGAATTTCTGTAGTTATTTTAATAAGCTTCTTACCTGTCTTGTGTGGACTGTGTCCTGAAGGTGTTCACGTATGGTCTCTGTCCTCCAGATTCAGTGAAGAGGGGATGGAGGTGATGGAGCGGTTGATCTACCTCTTTCGCAAATTTAACCAGTTGAAGGTCAGCAACGAGGAGTATGCGTGCATGAAAGCCATTAACTTCCTAAACCAAGGTGAGTCAATGAAGAGGAGGACCCAGTCCTGCCAGAGAAATTGTCTGAAACAATCTGAACAGTCTTTGCTTCCCTGATGAAAAATGGGAGGGAAGGATCTGAAACCCAGGGATGGATGTGGGCTCTGGAAACTCTGCCGTTGTACAGACAGCGCACCACGCAGTGTCATACCTACGTACCTGTGTGAGGAAGTTCTGAAAGTGAAAGAATTCATTTGCTTAGTCATTTGTATCGCCTTCAGATGTAGACACTGAGGATGGTACCTGTGCCATTTTACGTATGTAGCAACTGGGCCAGCATCAGAGTCAGACCATAGCAGAGAGACTGGTGAAACTTCCCTAGGGTACATTTGGGTGACCCTTACTTACCAACTGCTAATGAACTTCTCACCAGGCAAGGATCTGTCATCTGAAAGTGTTAGTGGTTTAGGTAGCTCTTCATGCAGTTAACTAAATGATTCTTTTAAAACGGTTAATACAACCTTTCACAGATTCCCAACTGAAAAATGTATTTGTTCATTCTTCTGCTTGAAGGGATGGCTTTGTAAAACTTGATTTTCCCTGTTTTTTTTTTTTGTTTGTTTGTTTTTTGTTTTTTTTTTAGAGCTTTTCTGTCTCTGTACAATATTTACCTTCAGGATTTATGCTTAGGTCATCTAGTTGGCTTCCTGCTATTTATCAATATATTTTCCCGTGCCTAATGTTACCTCTTTAAAATGGAAAGTATTCACGAATGAAGTATTTATATGCAAGCAATGAATTCCGCCTAATAAGGGGCTGTATCCTCCTGTTGATTAACCACTCTGTTAAAGCTGGCTGTCCAAAACATTGCAAGACCCTTGACATTTCAAAATCTTGAGTAAAGTCAGTGCAAAATGAGCTGCAGATTAATTCTTCAATGAGTGAGGAAATCCTGGTCATTTCCTAACAAATGCAGTGTGCTGAAATAGTTTGGAATCGATAGGTTTGTTGTGATTCCCTTTTCAGTAGTTGCTTGTAATTACACATCCGTGGAGCCCCTTGGGACGTTTCTTTATGTCGTGTGTGCATAAATGAAGAAAACCGTGGAGAGGCAAATGCTTAATAGATGGTGTTCAGCTGTAATTTTGGAAATGAATGTCCCCAGAGTCTTCTTGTACCGTGAAAGATAGTTGCAGTCTGTAAAAATGTGCTGAAAACTCCCTCCTCCCCCACTCGTTTTCACCAGGAGATAGTGCTGACTCTTCAATGTGTGCCCGGGCTCAGATCCGGTTTGCTTCCCTGGGCAGTTTCCTGACACTGGATAATGCACTTCTTTAGCTGTCTCCATTGTTTTCCGAAGTGTATTTTCATTAACTTCCTGCCTCCTTTTATTTTTAGTTGAAGTTTGCAATTTTTTTATGAGAAATACCTGAAAATTATTTTTAAAAGTCAGCTTTTGGGCAGCAGATCAATGCCTCTTCCGTCACATTGTCGTAGAGGAGCGAGCCGCAGGAGGCTTGTGCAGTTCCCGTGCTCCGGCCGCGCTGGATCCCTCCCAGGACACCCAGCAGCATGCAAATGTCATTGATCATGCTGAAGGGTGGCAGTGGGACTTCCTGCCCGGCTGATGGCTTGGAAATGTCTATTTTTCCTTTGTGTGCATTGCCTGACACTGGTAAAGCTAAATTTTAAAACAAGAGTTTGACCAGGCTGTAAGTGATATGACATAACTCGTGAGCAGGTGGGGAGAAATGCGACGGTACCTGGCGTTATGGAGTTTTTTATCAGCTAAAATCACCGTGTTTCTGCCTGAGGAAGTATTACAGAACTGCTGTGAGGACTAAACCTTGACACACAGCTGCCTTACAAAAGGCAGTCAGGGATTTCAGGTCTGGAGCTGTTACTTGTGATAGAGTTCACTAAGCTCTGAAGATGAGCAGCTCAGGATTTGTGCTGTTCTCATCCGTGTCGTCTGCGGAAGGAAGTCTTGCACCTGGACACCCTGCGGGTGCAGGCACACCAGGAGAGGAGTGAGATCTTAGTCTCTGGGTAACTAGACATTTGAAGTCAGCCTCCAAAACAGTGACCAGCTTAGAGTTTTAGGAATCAGTCTGTCCTTCCTGAAGAGATGGCAGTAAGCGTGAATCTGTTGTTCTCAGATGTTTTCCTCGTGTTTTCATTACTCTAATCGTATGCTCTTTCAGACATTAGGGGACTGACTAACGCCTCCCAGCTGGAGCAGCTGAACAAGCGGTACTGGTATGTCTGCCAGGATTTCACAGAGTACAAATACCCCCATCAGCCCAACCGTTTTCCGGATTTAATGATGTGTTTGCCAGAGATACGATATATAGCAGGTAACTTTTTGAGCTCTTCTCCCACCGCAATCATGGACAAATTATGAAATCCTCTTCTAAAATAAAGTTAATCTATGAGAATGAAATTCTTGCCTACTTTGCCGGAGGGTGTTTATGTGAGACCTTTTTCTACTTAAGCTTCTCCCTTGTCTTTGAAGTGGTCTCCTGTCACCCCCAGTTCTGCAGGTAGGCTGACACGGGGCAAGTTGTTCCCCTCTGCTGCACAGTGCTGCTTGCTCATAGTCCCCTGCTCCCGAGAAGACAGGCTTTGTCCCTCAAGTGCTTCAGTTTAAGTACTTGGGTCAGGTTTGTATTTTATTTTCTTCCCTTCAGTCCTAGCTCAGAGGCATTTTGTCCTAAACAGATGTAGCCCCAGTCTGAGAGGTTGTTTCATGAGAGGTGGAGAGGTCCCTGAAGTGCTGCTGAGGAGCACAGGATGAGCAGAGCTGTTGCAGTCCTACGGGGTAAACCCTGGGCGTCAGCTCCTCTGGGCGTTAGCATATCTGAAACATGCAGGTGAATTGTCAGCTTCACTTGTGTCACTAATTAGATCCACACTGTCTGGTGTTATTAAGGCATTGTTTGTTCCCAAGTGTTATGGTAAAGGAAGATACTTGCCTCCCCGTGTCAAGGCTCCGTATGCTTCATCCTACCCTGCTGTAACAAAGTAGATAATAATCACATAATAGCTCACATAATTTACTCACCGAGATCTACAAGGGAGTTAGAGGAGAGACAGCATTTAGTCTTTCCCAGTTTCTATAAATACTGCTCCATTGTGGAGAAATCATTTTGATCTGACTTTGCCCATTTATTTAGCTTTCATTTCAGTAAATAATAAATCCTGTTGTGTCCAAATGGGTATCAAATGTCTAATGTAGCAGTAGGATGATTAACTGTTTCTCTGAGAGGTTCAAGGTAAAACCATCGTCAGCGGTGCTGGCTTAGGTGTCTCTCGGAAATCTGATTCAGGAATGGCTGCTAATTCTGGCCTTTTTCTTAACAGGAAAAATGGTGAACGTCCCGCTGGAGCAGCTGCCTCTCCTTTTTAAGGCCGTTCTACATTCCTGCAAGACGAGCGCGAGCAAAGAGTGAGCCCAGCTTGCCCCCGACCCGTGCCTTACTCTGTGCCTCAGGCAGGGAGCGGGCTCACCTCGAGAGGAAGGGGGAAACATGACCAGGGCAGGAGGGAAGTGCTGAGACGGGGCAATGGGTGTCCCTGCCATTGTAGCAAGAACCTTTTGTGTTTGTTTTTGTTTTTTTACTCTTTTTCCTATATATTTATTTCACGACAGAGTTGAATGTATGATCTTCAACACGATGCACATGGTTCTGTATGAATGCAGCAGATGCATTCTCCAGCAGTTTACAGAATGTGAAGATGTTTAATGTGACAGTGTTTGTTAGGGTTAGTTCTTTTGTATTTTGGGGCTGGGGACTGAGATGACTAAGACTACCTCAAGGAGAAGATGCTGTTCACGCACTGCTCTTTCCGTGATTTGTATCCAAAAGCGTTTGTCGAAGAGCGCAAACTGCCTCACCTCACTGACAGAGCTGTTAGCATCCCAAATGGACAGTTTTGGAGACGTGGGTGTTAGAGAAGTGCCAAGCTTTATTTTTGTTATTGTTTAAGGAAATTAAAAAAAAAAAAAAGATGACAGGGAGAGGAAAAGAAGAAACAGTTTGTTTAGCCAGTTGGTTTTTCTTCCTCTGGCAGTTCTCAGCTACAAATGGCAGTGCCTGCAGTTTCCCTGAATTCTGCCCCCAGGATTGCAGTGCTCCCAGGCCAAGAAGGGCTTGCAACCCCGTTCCCTCCTGGAGCTGCAGGAGTGTGATCTGCACTCCGTCTCCAGCCTCACCAGCTGGCCTGCCACTGCTGCTGCTCCTTTCCATTCGATTGAAATTGTGCTGTTGCAGGTCGTAGCTGGCCTCTGACATTACAACAGCAAGGTACTCTCGTAGAGAGAGGGAACTGCAAATAATTTCTAATTGCTTCCTTAACATCCATTTTACATTCATAAAAGCAGGAGAGAAGAGGCAGGATTGCCCCTTTTAGTGTATGCCCCCAAGGTGGTGGCTGACTGCTGGGGACACTTCTGCACTGCAGCAATCAGAAGCAGCCTGTTTCTGGGACCAGCTGACCCCCCTTGTGGTTAAATGTAACGTGCATAATGGTGACCAGGGACTCCAGTATCCTCTGGCATGCTTTCCTCTGCTGGACTTGGGGAGGGCATGATCCATAGTTGTATTCTGCCAGGACAGTTTTACTGCTCCGTGGAATCCTTCTGCACCAGGAAAAAATACTGTGAGTACAGTACTTGGGCAGCCGTTTGTCCCAGGCGTTGCAGGGCTGGGATTTCCATCTAGCAACCTCCACACCACTCCGCTGCATGGAGAGATGGTTTAGTGACAGCAGGTTAGCTGTATGAGTAACTGCTAAGTCCTGGTGCTTATCTAAATTTGGGTATTCTCATAGGAAATCTCATGGCATCCTGCCTGTGGTGGTGGTGGGGAGCGCAGGGGACAAGCTCCTGATCTTTCATTAACAGTTAACGTAGGAAGATTCCCCTAGGCTGCCACGTTACCCGGCCTGGACTTCCTTCCCTCTATCACTACATATAATCTTCAGGTAACAAATTGTTGAATGCTGTTTTTAAAATACTTTGGGAAGCAGCTTCTGTTGCTTCAGAGGAGGAGGAACCAGTCACTCCCTTTTTGTCTGGTCGTGGTAGCAGCTGTGCACGGCACGCAGTGAGTACTGCTCGGGAGTGAAGTTGCTGTGAGATGAAAATGAAAGTGGCGGTGAGCAGGAACGCCTTCACCAGTCGTCTTTCCTTCCCCTGCATCCCAGAGGGTTCAGTTGCAACCCAGGAGACCCTGTGACCCACTGGCTTGGCACATCTCTAGGTTAGTCAACGGCACTGCTGGGTGCTGGGCGCTGCCTGCTCCCTTCAGACCTCTCCTCGGAGGCGTGCTGTTGACTAGCAGTGAACCCCATTGCTTTCTTTGTGATTCTGTTGGGAATCTTCCAGCTTGTCAGTTTCCCTTTTCTAAAAGTCCACTAGCTGCTCGTTTTTCATTATTTAAATATGATGTTACGGGTAACAGCTGCTGGGACCAGCAGCAGTTCGGTTTGATAGAGCTTCACAAATCCAAAGGTGGTTCTGTAAATCTCATTTACTTTCTGATTGTAAAATGAGACAAGCACATATTTCTCAGGAAAGCCTTCTGCATACAGCATATACCTCAAGTGTAAATGGTAAGAGTTTAGTATATCTGTTTGTAAGTTAGAAATTATTTCTCAGCTTTTAAGTTTAATTTCCAAATAGCTTGATATGATCTTTTTATTACGGGTTATCTTCTGGCTTGCTGTTTTATACACTCAAGGAATTGTTAAATTGCATAGCAGTAATTTTATTCTGTGATTACTGAATTCTTATAATCTGTTGATGAATGAGAGTTTGTTTTAATTAGTGTACATAGAAGTGGTCATCCTGTTGCCAAATACCCAACAAAAATAACGTATTTGCTATTCTGTATTTATCCAAAATACTCCCAAGACTAATGCTGTACCAAAAACAACAACAAAAACCACACCTAAATTCAGATAAGATGATAAACGGTCAAGAATGTTCTACTTTCTGTTACATAACCAAATTGTATAAAGGCTGATTGGCAGCAGTATCTGTTAACAAATAATTGGTTTATTGTAGGGAGTAAAGAAGCCTTACTACATTGAGAAGTGAGGCAGAAGCTGATGTACCAAACCAGAATGTAACTCACTGGACAGTCAGTCGGAATATCTTCTGCACCAAGTCCTCTAATGACTTGTATTTTTTAAACAGGGTAAAGTGAATGTGTTGCATTGCAAACTCAGGTATTATAAGAAGGTAGGAACGTAGCTAGAATGTAGAGACGTTAGGTCAGTCGCTAGATGTATTTGTGAATTTGGTTTGAAGGACACCCTGGAAAGGTTGGAATTTTTGTTCCATTCTTCACGTAACATTCAGTTTACAGGGACTCATATTTTATTTGTGCTTAATGCTAGTAGGGGGAAGTTCATTATCTTTGGTACCTATCTGCTGTTGCTTATCTGACCTTCTGTCATAGAGGAATCAATCAACAATAATAGTCTTTGGTAGAATTTTCTGCCATGACAAGTCAATTTTTATCCCCGATTTGAAAGATAAATTGGCTGACTGACCCCCTCCTCTCCTTCATAGTATTTGTGCAAATAGAAAGCTGAAGAGTTACTTTTAATCCGGACAGAGATTCGGGACATAAATTTGAAATGCCCAGGCTCCCGTATTCCGAGGAGCTCTGTGTAGGTCTCTTAGTTGCTGTTTTGCAGCTCGCAGCTCATCAGCCAGCACAGGGAACAGCGCAGGCACTGCTGCTGCAGGTGATGGCGATGAGTCTTCGCTCGAGTGGCAAGACCCCTGGGACCTGAACAAAAAAGCTCTTTGAAAACCTCTGCATTTTCTTCCGAAGCTTGCCTTTGGGTCAAGCCTCTGTCACATAAATGGAGTCGTGACTCCACCGTGTGTGTCAGAGCAAGTTCTTGTCCTCAACGTGCCCCTAGAGAGGGCCGTGGGATGGGGGCACTGCCAGGGTGCTCAGGGATGCCCCGAACCTCTGAACCGGTGGGTTCTGGAGATGGCCAAATGGATACGGCAGGGGCTATCCCTACAGCCGCTCACACCCATGCAAGCTCCTTTGTAATTGCTGGCTGCGGGCAACCTTTCCCCTGTGCTGCCGTGGGCTCGGAGCGAGCCAGCGAGGGCACGCGGTGCCCGGGGAGTGCTGGTGTCACCAGGCTCCTGCTGCCCACAGAGCCGTGGCTCCATCTGCTCCCGGCTGAGTGTGTGGGCACGGGCTGTGCCGTGGGCAGCAACAGGAGTGACCTGCATGGGAGGTGAGCTGCAGGAACCCGTCCTGGGGGTGCTGACCACGCTGAGCCCCTCGCTGCCCGTCCTGCCCCCTTACATCTGTGTGCCGACACGGACAAGGGCTCTGCAGCCGTGTGCACAGAACAGAAGCACAGCCAGCTCAGGTTAATGATTTTAAGTTCTGTCCTTCAAACCAACCTTTAAAAAAAAAAAAAAAACAACTAAAAAAAACCACTTGAATTTCTTTTTATTACATTTTTTAAAACAACAAAAAATTCTCCCGTGAATGTGCTATTTACCGATCATTCTTTCTTCTTTCTTGGTTTTGATTTGAAGCTATGAAGCTTGGTGTCTGTGAAAATGTTATTTCTGTATTTCTCAGGATAATAAGCGGCAATCATCCCTGCCACATAAAAGGCAGGAGAAAGGGGGAAACTTGGGGAACTAGTTTAAGTGTGAAACTAATTTTTAAGTTGTAGATGATGTTTAAATCGGGGGTAACGCGTGAGATGTCAGTATCAAGCTGTGGCGTTTCTCTGGGTTCTCAGTGTGTTGTTTGCAATGCACAGCAGCTCAGGGATAAGTATTTAAAATGGGACCCAGAGAAACCCGAGTTTTGATGTTGCAACCGTTGCTTCTTTCATGACTTGTCTGGAGGACTCCTTGAGACCTGAATAGAGCCCCCGTACGGAGGTGTTGGGGGCAGAATTCTGCTTTTCCTGGTGGGACGTTTGTTTAGGCCCCTCCGGTGGCTGTGGGGAACCCCCCAGGGATGCGTGGGGCTGGCGTGGGGCTGGGGACCAAGCAGCAGCTCCCCCGGCAGAGCTGTGCCGTGCCTCTGGCTGGCACCCCGCAGCCCCCAGCTCTCAGCCCCCAGCTCTCAGCCCCCAGCCCCGCAGCAGCCCCACTGGGGTGGGCAGGGCGAAGCGTGCTGGGCCAGCCCCGTGGGCAGCTGCACGCCTTCAGCGGGCACGTCATGTCCAAAGCAGTGTGTAAATGTGCTGCATCCTTTTGCCCTCAGTGCTCAACGGGTTCAGGTGCTCATGGAACAGGAAAACGTGGGCACTTCTCTTGCTGGCAGAGCCATTCCTGCTGTCAGCGTGTGGCTTAGGAATGAGAGCGTTGGGTCTGCAGTTGGTACAGCTTCCTCCTCGTGTTTGCCAGGGCTGTAGGCTCATTCAGCCTGGCTTAGAAGTGTCCTGACGTGTACAAGCGGCTCACCCACCTGCTGCTGGGGGTATCAGAACGGCGCCATCCAGCCCGCTGCAGCCACGGGCAGGGCTGGGCACAGGCAGAGCAGCAGCACGGAGCCTGGCAGCAGGTTTGTGGGGCTAAAAGCCACCTCCTCGGCTGTCCCAGCAGCCAGGGAGTGCACGCTGAGTATAAACCAGCAGAGCATAAAGCTGCTGAGGGCGGTATAGGCGGTATCTTCGCCTTGAAAGAAAAAATTGAAAAGAAAAAAAAGATTCTGTGCAGTTGACCTCTAACAAGTCTATGAAAGAAGCAACACGGTTCAGTGGAAGAAATGCCCCCAAGGGCAAAAAGAAACAGAAATTGAAACCAGATGACGATCAACCTTAACAAAGCCTTTTGTGATTCATTGTTTTCTTTCGATTTATGAAATGTCTTGTAATAGTTGATAACATTATTGACTCGATTTCCATAACAAAACTACCTCGTGTGACATCCTGTTTATCATCTCAAAGGGATTGTGAGAAAAACAAAATGCTGCCAGTGTTTGTTGCTAAAGAGCAGGCTGTGTGAACGGCAGGAGTTCCCTGCCTCTTGGTGCCGGTAGGTGCACCCGCAGTGATTTCTGACCTCACGTCCCCCGGCCACGGGCACCCCGGCTCGCGGGGGTCCTGCTGCTGTTCCTGGGACGAAGTGCCACGGGGGCACCAAGCTCCATGTTCCTGCGGCACGGCGCAGACTGGCGCTGATGGCCCAGGGCCTCCACAAGCCTGCACGTCCTGGCTGTGGGTCCTGAAGGAGCAGCTCCGGCCCGCTGAGTGGTGCTCGTCTTGGCCATTGCTGCCTCCTGGGCTGGGTCCGAGGCCAGTTTGGTCCTGGGGCCTTTCCGCAGATGCTCCCAGCAATGGCTTCTCCCGGTCAAACACTGTGTTTTTCCCACGATCCCTTGCCTAAATCAGGGAAGCAGGATGTTGCCTGGCATGGCACGTTAGCAGCGGGGAGCTGGGGTCGGGTGCTGCGCCCTGGGGAGCGCCTGGTGGGATCGGTGTCCCCGTCACCTTGCTGCACCCCAGGGGATGTCCTCCCGGTGTGGCACGGTGCGGGGCACGGCGGCCCTGCTGCGGCGGCACCGGCACAGCTCCCTGCCAGCCCGGCCTGGCGCGGCTCTGCTGCCCCGCTCTGTGACTTGACTACCTGTGGAAATGTGACCAATAAGTGTTGAACGCATGTGTAGCGAGTGTTAGCTGTATGAACTAATAAATGTGAATTGTTCTGCACCGCTGGTGCAGGCTGCTGCTTCCTTTCATCTGGGTGATGGGGCTGGGCGCTGGTGCGGTGGCACCCACGGCACCCTCTGGTACAGGGGGGGCTGGCACTGGGAACTGGGGTGGCTCTGGGAGGGCCTGGGGGTCCCCAGGGGTGCACTGATCCCACCCCATTGGGATTGGCAGGTGGGCACTGGGGTGGTGATGCGAGAGCAGCGGTTTGCACAGGTGCATCCCCTCCTAACCAAGAGGCAGGAGGGCAGGAGGACAGAGCTTCTTCCTGCCGCTGTGTCCTTGCAGCCTGCTGTGCCTGCTGCCGTGGTGGGGCTCTCACCTGGGGACCTGGGGGTGGCCGGGACGGGCTGGGAGCTGCAGGAGGGGCGGCTGCAGCAGGAGCTGCGGCAGGAGGCAGCGTCTGCACGAGGGCTGCAGCGGGGAGCCTTGACCAGCAGCTCCGGAGGCACTGCAGAAAGCGTTTGGAGCTTTTCCATGTCACTGAGGTGGGTGTGTGGTGAGAGGCTGACAAGTGCTTCTCACGTTTACGTCTCTGTGGGTGTTGGGTGCAGGCTGAGGCCCACGCACTGCTGAGCGCAGCGGCGGCACCGAGCGAAGCAGCTGGGCCCTGAGTCCGTCCTGGGATCGCTCTGCAGCTCGTGAATTGCAAAACTTCTAAAATCGGTGGTTCTGGGTCCTGCACGGAGCAGATGGATCCATGCGAGGTGCCTGTGAGGACAGGACTTTGACCCAAAAGCCTTTATACCTAGGAAATTCCCCAGCATTTCTTCAGAGACAGCAGCAATCCCTTTGTTCAGACCTAAAAGGGGCTTTGCCCCAGGGAGCAGAAGGGGGTCAGGGGAGCTGTCTCAGAACCAGGCCAAGGCAAAGGGCTGGCTGAACGGTGATCTGCTCCAGCCTGGGCCCCTGACAGTAATTTGCAGCCAGATGAAGCAGTAATTCCCCCTGAGCTGGAACTTGGTGCTCACAATAATCCCTTACAGCAGCCGCAGTAAAGGTGTCAGGCCATAGATCAGCGCCGAGCGCCTTCAGCCTCATCCCAGGGCCGGTCCCGAGCTTGCCCCGGGGCCATGTGCTCGTGGGAGGGATTTTGCTGTGCCCAGCACACGGGGCTGGCCCCAAGCCTGGTCCAGGAGCCTCCCTGGCCCTGCTCGGCTGCTCCATCCCTGCCACCACAGGGGCTGCAGGGTGGCCGTGTCCCTGACCCCAAGCCTGCAGGGTCCCTGCTGCCCTCTGCAGCTCGGTGCCTGCCCCCTCCCCGCTCCTTCCAGGGCAAATCGTGTCCTCGTCTCGGTCCCCGCGTGAGCCGTGCTGCCCCGCTCCTCTGCCAGGCGCCTCCCTCCTGCTGCCCCTCCGTGGTGTTAACGGTTCTTATTTACAGCACCTCTCCTCACCTGCGGCGCAGCTCCAACGCCTCTGCTGCCATCCCGCCTGGATTTATTCCCCCGAGGGGCCCTGAAGGTCGGCGGTGGCGAGGCGCCTCGGGAGGTGGCGGAGGACACGGCGCACGCGGGGCTCTGGGGTCGTCCGCACCTGGAAGCCGAGTGGGAGAGCCCGGGGGGGCGCGGAGGCGCTGGGCGGCACCGCCTGGGCACGGAGGGCTGCCTGGAGAGCACACCCGGAGTGGGAAAAGTACCAGCACGCTTCCATTTGCAGCTCAACCCCTACTGACCACTGTATTTTGATTAGAGCTCTGCTTCCTTTTCATCTCCGTGCTCCGGCTGGTGACAACTGCCACAGCCTCGTGCGCGCGGTGCCATAGTTTATCACCGAAGGCCAGCGGCTCTATGAATTCAGAGCCAGCGCGGAACAAATCACGCTGTCACTAACGTCAAACTTGTTAACCTGATCTTTGGTGGATCACCAGTGTCAACATTGCATGGGACATACATTATCGGGCCCAAGGACTTTGGGAGATGTGTTTGTCAGGCTGTTCTGTCACAGTCCCACTCTTGACCTTCGCAAAGTAACTTTCAAGGATAAGCTGCTTTCCCCTGACAGCGAGGTGCAGTTCCCAGGGGTGTCACCCCTCGGCCACGGGGCTGTGAGGTGAGGCTGGGCCCCCACACACGTGGTGCTGCCACGGCTCGACCCAGCGATGAGCCAAGATCTGCCGGGGTGGTGCTCGGGGGCCTCCGCCAGGCTTTGGGCTGTGGATGGACCCCCGATGGTGTCCGTCCCCAGGCACGTCCCCTGTGTGAGCTCCCCACCGTGTCACCACTGCTCTCGCTTTGCCCTCGCGTTTTGCTCAGCCGCTGCCCCCGGCGTTCAGACCCGGACACCAGCCTGCGAGCACTGGGCCAGTAGGGGCTGCGTTCACTGCAGCAGTCTGAGCACCTCAGCTCTGGGTTTGCCTGGCACAGGTGCACGAATGGCTGCTGGCATTTCTGTCAGGGCTGACACCGGAGAGGTCAGGGGAAGGATGGGCCCCCCCAGCCGGGACAGCAGCAGCACGGTGAGAGGTGTGCGACCCCAGCAAGCTCCTGCTGCTGCTGCTCCCCTGTCACTGCCAGGGCCCTGCTGGGGCTGCACCTACTCCCGGCCTGTGCTGCCGGGACAGGGCTGAGCCGGGGCCGGGGCAGCTCGTGGCCGGCGGGACCCCAAGGTGGGCGCTGGGTTCCAGCCCCACATGGCTCTCCCCGCGGGCCGACCCTGCTAATCAGCTGTGAAAGAGAGAGAGAAAGCTGGAGAGAAATCTTTCTCTCTGCTAACCTCATCACAATAAAGATTCCTATAAAGAGCTCTTATCCTTGAAGAAAATGAGGCACATAAGCAGGAATAGTAAACAAAAGGCTGTCATTTTGACCCAGGAGTGCTTCATGTTGTTGGCAACTGCCAAGAGGAAACATAAAGAGAGGCTGCATCCAAGTCCCAATTATGCAGAACTATGTGACTGATATGTCAATGAGTCCCCCCGGGAGGAGACCACCAGCGCTGCCTGCGCACCATCTGCACACGCCGCCATGCGCCGGGCCTGCCCGCACCCCCGAGCAAAGGCGTGCGTGGCATCGGAAGAATGCGGGGGACAAGGTAATGTCATCGGGAACGCTATCGCCAAAGTCCTCGCCGCGCGCACGTTATCGCCACGCGCCCCGGAGTCAGGGACTGCGGGCAGCCGGCGGCGCAGGCGGCCGGCTCTGGCCAACAGTAGTGCTGACCACACCTGCTGCAGGCACGCTCCGGGAACGTGGCGCAGGCAGGAGGGCTGCCCCACCGCAGATAAGCTGAGTGGATGAAGATAACATCCGAGAAGGAGATACGCTTTGCCGAGCATCAAGGCTGCGCACCAGCAAGGAGCCAAAGCGCGGCTGTGTCCCGCGGCGGGTGGTGCAGCCCCGAGGGCTCGGCTGCAGCCGTGCCGGCCCCTTGGTGATGGCCGGGGCTTTGGTGACAGCAGCCGGGGTTGGTGATGGCTGTGGCAGGGCTTGGCCCCATCGGGAGCACGAAGCAGAGGCTGTGCCAGTCCCTCAGCCATGATGGGGAAGGTGTCACTGCATGGCTGGGGGCAGCGGTGCCTCCTCTGCGCCCACGGCTGCTGGGGACGCCCCCACCAAAGCTGCAGCAGGGCCTTTGGGTGCAGGCACCCAGTGGCAGCCAGCCCCCCTTCCCAGCACCTCCCTGGGAGCCTGTGTCGCTAGGAGCCCAGGGCCCTGTCCCCTCCTGGGTGCTGGCACCAGCTCGTCCCTCTGCCACCAAAGCCCTTGCCCCACTCTGCCCCTCTGCCCGTCCCCAGGCACCCCCAGGGCTGCGCACAGCCTTTGGCACGGGCTCTGCATGCCCGGCTGCTGCCTGAACGGGCACTTGCTGCGGGGGTACACAGGGTGCCCTCAGGCACTGCCGGTCCCGTGTCCTAGAGCAAGCCCAGCACCAGGACGGGAAGGAGAGCAGCAGCCTGGGCGAGTGGTGGGTGCCACTGCTGCAAAGCGCCCTGGTGTTGGAGCACCCTCATTGCAGACAAAGCTGGGTGTCCCCAGTGCCAGAGCCCCACGTGCCCATCTCGCCAGGAGCTGGCTCGCTGCAGGGCCCCCGTGGCTGCCCCGACCTGCAGCTCCCCAGCCCACCCCTCCACCCGGCCCCGCCGCGCTGCCCCGAGAGCGAGCACTGAGCGCGCGCCCGCTGCAGGAGCTGGGCCATGGCCTTGGCGAGGGCCTGTGCAAAGGAAGGTGCCCAAGGCCAGCAGGGACGTATTTACCCCTGAAAACACCTAGCTTCAAAAATAGCAAGTGGCCGGCATGCGGCCGGGGCTTCCCGGGGGAACAATGCCCGGCGGGAGGAAGCGGAGCGGCCGCCCCGTGCTGCTCCGTCCCCGCCTCGCGCGGGGCTGAGCCGCGAGCCGCTGTGTGCCGGCCCGGCGGGGACCTTGAACCTGCCAAAGATTTATTTTCCCTGACATTGGCATTGCATCGGAACATCTGGCATTCGGCTGATAATTGCTTGGGATCGGGGCGGAAGCTGCCTCTCCAGGCCTGGCTCTTCTACAGAGCTGTGTTTTCGTTACTTTTCTCCTCTCTTCAGCTGCAGAGCGAGGAAAAAACAACCGGGGCTGCACAGCTCATGGCTCCCGCTCCTTCCCCACAGCCCCGTGCCGCGGGCTCCCCGCTCCCTCCTGCGGTGAGGCCGTGAGCTGGGGCCTGTCCCTGTGGGGTGATGCCCGTCCTGTGGCCCCAAACCCAGGTCCTGCCACCCTGGTACCCACTGGGGCTGCAGCAAAAAGTCCTCGGGGCCGTGGTGCTGGGGTGAGCCACCGGCGAGCTCTGTGCAGACACGTGGGGAGATGCTGGGGTGATGGATAGCGGGGCTGTGGGGAGGAAGAAAAAGCAAATCCCTGCCCTGGCAGGAGGGAGGCGTCGTGAGTGGCCTCTCCCCTGGCACCTCGCCTCTCTGCGCTCACAGGGAGATGGAAACCAGAGCCCTGGGGCCACCACAGTGCCCAAGGGTCAGGACTGTGCCCAGCACCATGCAGGAGGTGGGAAATCCAGGTGGTGGGGACATTGCTG